AGAGAAAAATGTATACACTCAGCACTAAATACCTACAGAAAAAATTTGCACTCTTTGATGATGATGACTACAAAATTGTCATGGTTCAGTTAACTGAGAGAGATGATAGTATAAAAAGGTGCAATATAGTAACTTCTATTTATTCTCCTCCTAGCGAACTCCTCCCTATTGCAACTATGTCTTCGTTAATAAGTCGTTCGAAAGACTTCATTTTTGTTGGTGATTATAGTTAATTTAAATAACTTAAACGATTTATTTATTAGTTATTTTATTATTGTTTGTGATTATCATGTACAAAATACTATGTTTAAATTATGCAATGTCTTCTAATTCGTAAAGTGTTTGCATTTTTTTTGGTTTTGGTTACAGACTATAAATATTTATACCACTTGGTTCAGCGTGCTAGTAAAATACTCTACTTTGACGTTTATAAGACCTTGTGATACCTAGAAACTGCGTGCATTATTTTTGACAGTATCTGAAAAGTAATGCCTATAATATTTTTCCTATGTAATGTGTGTACCAGTGCAGGCTATCTAGATGAGATCAACAAATGAGCACCTGATACTTAAACGTCTCCTTTGTTGTCTTCAAATTGGCAGGTTATTAGAGAAAGTACAACAGAATTTCTTTCTATCCAGAGATCCGTGTATTTTTGTAGTGATCAGGATTGAAAACATACACAAAATAGTAAAATAAGATTTCGCTTCTCTTCAAATAATGGTGATACGATTTGTGAACGACTTCTTATACAAATGCTAAAGAATGTTTTCAACGTATCATCCAATTTTACTCAACGGATAAATGTCCGTTCGATAGCTATGGTTTGGCACATAAATATATTGGACAAATTATATATGATATCGGCAAAAATTATAAGCAAGCACTAGAACACTTATACTCAGCAGCAAAATTCTATGAAACAAAGTTTAAAAATAATTCAGAATTAGCCGAATGTTATAGTTTTATTAGTCAGATTTGTTTGAAACAGGAAAAATATCATCAAGCACTAGATTATACGTTGAAAGCAATCAAATTGTTCTTACAACCAAAAGAGTTAGCAGCAAATATAAAGCAAGCGACAACAAATGATTTATCGTTTCTGAAAAAAAACCCTGGTCTCTTGCCAAGAGGTATAAAGGAATCAAGTCTTGTGGGCGATGAGATTATTATTTCACAAACATACAGGTTTGTCAAAATATTTTCTAGACGAATGAATTCATTCCATTCTTTTACTTTTGAGTATAGATTGATTGGTGATATATATGAAAAATTAAATGAAAATGAACAAGCTCTATTAAATTACGAACGTTCGTTGAAAATAAGTGAAAATTTGACTCCAATATTCCAATGCGAAACAGTTATTACATACACAAAAATAAGTCAACTTTATTCAAAATGAATTGTCGTAATGGTGAAGCGATAAGTTAAGCGACAGTTTCCAGACAAAATGTTTATTCATTTTTTACCTGCTTGAATGTATTTCAGACGAGTCAAAAGCTATGGGTTAGGACCAGAATTTGATGCTCTTTCTGAATATGGGCTCAGAAATCTTTTGTCTAATTTTGCTCCAGAGTAGTGAGGAAATCTTTGAAAGGTCTAAAAACTTAGTTTGGACGGAAACTTACAACGGAAAGACCAGTAAAGCAATCGGTGAGAAAAGTTCGATAGCTGAGGAGATATAGAAGGAAAAAAATGTCTCGAAGAAACAAAAGTGGTAGGAGCCCTAAAGGATTTCAGCGGAACTTCCAATAAAATCCCTCGACAGTCATGCTCACGCAAAAACTTCCAGATTTTTAGAAATCATCCTGAACACATTCACCCACCCAAGCAAAAATGCTCTACGTTTTCGTACTCAAAGGTACATAAATAGGCTCAGTTTTTGGTGAGGAATCCGAATATATCAAATTCGAAAAATTACAGTGAACAGAAGGTGGCAAAATTCCACGTTTTCTCAAAGGGATGTAAATCTTTTGTTCTATTGATACTTTGAGTATTTTGAGGATTTCTGCCCGAAAACTTGATCGAATTCGAATCAAGAGGAGATATTCGGAATCAGCTCAGTTAGGGCTATCCGCGTATGTAGCTTGTGATCGAAAGTTAAGATAGTGCTACATTTCTGAATGGCGGGCATCTTAATAGAGAACTGCTGTCTGTCAAAAAGACTAGTTGAACCGATCAAGACATTCTGACTATCTGAGTTTGTAGAGAATTTCAAGGGCTGTCGAGCAGTATATTATATAAAAGTAGTTAGTGTGTGCTTTCGGGGGAAATGTGTCTAAAGCAGTTTTCGGTTATCGAACGTTTCTTTTGACTGTCTGTGATGACTGGCTTAATCTGTCGGTGTATTCTAACTGGCTCAGTTTGTAGAGGATATCAAGGTCTAAGGAACAGTATATTATGTAGAAGTGTATAGTTTTTGTTTGTGGAGAATGTGACTTAAACAGTGCGGTAGTAGTGTTTTGGGCAAGGGGGAAAAAGCGCACTCCGCCACTCCAGCCACTCCGCGGAGTAAACCGCACTCCATAGCACTCCGGCACTCCGTACAATGGTCCGGAGTGGCGAAGTGCGTTGTTTTCTTTTAAAATAGAATAGTGATATTTCTCTCAATATTCTTCCCCCAAAACGGAACAAGCCGATTCCCAGAACAGAACAATCCGGTACTTTCATTGGGGAAATTTCCCAGATAACGGGACAATTGTGCTCTGTTCTGTGAATTCTTTTCCCACAGACAGAACGTCTTTGTTCTGCTTGTAGGACACAACAGAGATATCTGGAACAGTTCAGTTCAATAAAATTTCTTAAGTCCGCGGTACTCCGAGCCACTCCGGGCACTCCGGAACTCCACGGAGTGGCGGAGTGCGCTTTTTCCCGTTTGGTTTTGGATTATCGAACGTTTCTTTTGACCGTCTGTGATGACTGGCTTAATCAGTCAGAATATTCTGACTACGTTAGTTTGTAAAGAATTTCAAGGGCTATCGATTCATATGCTTTGTTAATCTCCATGAGTGTAGGAAGGATGGAAGAAGTAGCGTTTAGTCATCGTGTACGGCTGCTTTGGAGGTTGCCGATGTGAATGGTGTTGTCGAGAAATTAACAGAGTTTTAGTGAAGAAATGTATCTTTTTATCTGGGATTGAATTCTGCGGCATTTTTCGTTGATAGGAAGCCATTTTTACTCGAAAAAGAGAGTGGGCCGATTTCTGACCTATGTGCACAGTCCTCAAGACAGCCTTTTTTGTAACTTTTCTCTCAATACAGTAGAGAATATATACGTCAGACATCAGCATACTAATTCAGAGATTCGATCTTTAGTGACAGTTACCAATCCACTTGCTAATCGTCATCCTGACGCTTAACCAGAGAACAGACAAATTCATCGTCACAATTTCACAATTTCACGCGAGTTTAGTGCGGTTAAAAACAGAAAATGCATTTTGACTTTGAAATTCGACTTCGTTCTACCCAGGTCAATAAATCAGATCAAGATCTTACAAGATTTTATAAAATCTTACGGAAAATCACACAACAATCTGACGAAATCTGACGAAATCAATCTCACTAAAAGATCTTACATCAGGAAACAGGTTCTATGTTTCCTACAGAATATTACGAAATTGTATAAGAATCTTGTAAAGTCTTAGGATAAGATTCTCTGACCTGGATAGCTAAATTTTATTTACAACCGTCTGTTTTGTAAGAAAAGCCAAGGTCTTGTAAACTTTGACTGGTCCTTACGACGCCAGTCTGGCCTTACGCTCTCAAGGACTGCGTGCGTAGTTAGGCTCAGCCCAAGCTTCCACGGTTTGGGCTTTTCTGTAACTAAAAAGCGGTTGTAAACAAAATTTACTTTAGTCCTAACAAGTCGAGTCTGAAATATCAAAATCATAGTCTGATTCAATTTCTAATAAATGACACGAAAAAATATTGGACCCTAAACGTGTATGACTGATTGCGTGTACAAGTAACAATCATTCATTTTGATAATGTTAATGCTTGACACGACTCTTCCGCGAATTTTTCATAATACAAATTTAGATATTTCTGGCAGTGTATGATGGGCGTTGGGGACGACGATGGTAGTGTGAGGGTGAATTCGAACGGTAGTTTCACATAAAAGATATTTGCATGACATAGTGTGAACTAGTTTCAGCTTTTCAGGTGCTTATCTGCATATAAGTATCTGGAAAGCTGAACTTGAAATATTGACATACCATGGTATGTCAATATTTCAAGTTGAAGCTATTTTAAGATTTTTTTCACGAGTGCGTTCAGTAATATCCGTTGATTTGCTAGTTTTCTTAAAATCTATTTACAAAAATCGCGGAACAGTCGGTGCATCATGTTAATGAATTAAGAATGTATTTCGAGCTATGATAGCATTCCGATGAAAATGAATTTCAGCCTCTTTGTATAAAGGCTAAAAAGATCATCGTTGTGAAAAAAGTCCTTCATCATAGTTTTTATATTCATATTAGAAATATCAACTTTGTGCAAAAACTACTATTATATGAAAAATTATTATCAAGAAGATTTAGAGAAAACAATGAGAAAACACTTGGAGTAGTTTCCTCATCTGCGGGTAATACGGATAATGATGTGTTGCTTATTATTCAACAAAAATGAAAGTTTTAACAAATTCCTTCCTGTATACTTCAATCAATCTGATGGTGGATGAAAAGAGGATGTATTAGAAAGAAAGATATACTAACTTAATTATGAGAACAAAGTTTTGTTTAATGATTGTAAGCGAAAGATATGTAAAATATATCGTTAAAGTAATATGAGAAGTAAAGATTTATTTTCGCAGTCCACGATTATTGACTGACTAAGTCTCCTATATTTTCTTATGTTAAATAATCCTGAAAACGAAAATAAGCGCCATTTAATAGAGATGAGTACAGTTTATTTCTGAGGAATGAATACTATAATTATATTTTTATTCTTCTTCTACTTTTTATTTTTTTACACTGATCAACGTCAATCATCCGTTTACTTTCTTATAAGTGCAAAATTAAATATAAGCGAATACGTTGATGAAATCAATTTGATAGATCAAGATTCAATATACTCAGGTTATTGTTATTCGACGAAGATACAGTCGACTCATTGGCGACATTTGAATATGAGATTTGTGACTCTTGAAACCACAAATAATAATCACACGTATCAAATTATATACGATACAAGTACAAGTAGCACACAGGCCATCATTTCATTTTTACCAAATGCTCAAAATCTATCAAAAAGCAAAAAAGTTCCGAGAAATTCAATAGTTGTTAAACTGTGTGAGCAATTGCAAATTCGAACAACATTTCGTTGTAATACAACTATATCGGATAATATGATCGAATATTCTTACATTGTTATATACAAGGAACAATGTTATGAAATCGACTGGATTCATACATCAGCCTTTTTGCGTATAATAAGTGTTATAAAAACCCGAAATGACTGGATAACACTATTAAAAGAGTGGATAACATTATCCAAGTTAAGAAATTTAACGATAATAGAGGAACAAAAACAATTTATAACGATGAATTTACAAACCAGTACTCAAATTTACTTAACAACACAGCTGACAAATACCGCAAATATAATAAAGTTTGAAAGTATGTATCAATAACATTTAAGATGTAAATTTTCTCTGCATTATTAATCATCTTTTTTTATAGGCTCTTCTAAGTCACCTTTTTTGAATTTTCACTCGACAACTGTTCGATATATTGTTGTAGTTCTAATTAGTATCGTGTGTCTAATGAATGTTGTATTCTGTTGTACGTTGATGAGACAAAATAGATCATCACTATTCTCCATATCAAGATCAAAACTAAAGAATCCACAACCAGATGATACATCGGAGTATAATATTAGTCCAACTGGATCAAACATGAACACACCACCCGCATTAATACTAGATGAACCATCAACACCCACCTATCTTTTTAGATCAACAACAAAACATTGATCACATTCTTTCGAACTCTTCTTTTGCATTTGTTATTATTCCAGTAGATGTATTAGTAAGAGGAGTACATCCAGTGTCTCTTTGCTTTTTTTGAATGATCCACAGTTTTCTGAATGTTATTAATAATCAATTTAATATGTTAAATTTAAAAATTAGTGTCTGTCGAAGTTTGTTTAGCGAATATTTGAACTAACCACTACTAGCGATGCCTTTTTAAAGAGCGTGTCAAGTTACATATGTGTATAAGCTATCAAAGCTCCCGAATAGATTTTAGCACAGTTGCGAAAATTACACTGGGCGTGGCCATATAACTCTGCTACCGTAATGAAATTTCGTAACGAAATTTTGACGTTTTATTATTTTGCTAGTTTTTTAATAAAACAACTGTCGGAGCTCTACAACATATACAACGGTTGAGCAAACTTTTCTGAATCAAATGCCATATGTCCGGGTTCTGTGTAATCTATAATAAATCTCCATAATGATTTGTCAAAATATTCGCATAATTATGTAAAGTTCACACATTATTTTCATAATTATCTGCCAATATATATTTCTAGACCATTCATCAGACAGTTTGAAGACTTGGCTATGCATGTCTTTCGCTTTCTCCTTTTTTAATATGGAAGAGCTCAAAAGAGCTGAACATTGAATACCGTGACACGACTATTCCGCGAATGTCTCTTCTGCGAACCGACTCTTCCGCGAACAGGACCCCGACTCTTCCACAAACCGACTCAAATGGTGTACTGAATGTAATAGTCTTTTCAGTGTAACGGAAAAATTGAATTGTAAGTTTTTTCCAATGCGGTACGCTTTCTGATGCTTGCTAATGCACTTATGACGTCGTTACTGGTTACGTCAATATTTGACTGGTGCTTACCTGTAAATATGATCTCGAGACTATTAGTTGTACTGCTTTAAAAAATGTATATAATTTCCCTTTATCTATTTCTACTTTACTGAGAAAAAGAACAGAAGAAGCAAGAAATATATATATATATCTGTGAACATCTGCTGGTGGCAGAATGGATTCAATACATTGTATTGGTAATATTTCATGAAAATATACTTTATCTTCGTAGTATTTTATTTTATTTACTCACAATGAAGACGTTTCGATCGCCATGTGCAATCTTCTTCAGTAAAACATAAAATTAATAAAATAAAAATAAAAACATAAAATGTATATATACAACAATTCCAGTGCACACAGTTGATGTCAAATCTGCAATGTCACAAATTCTTTTTCTTTTCGTATATTTATAGAGTAAAATCTCCTAATTTGAACGGACTTTTGAAAAATTGGATTCTTTTGATTATTGTGAGGTTGTTTCTTAAGAAAGTAGATAACTTTTTACATTTCCGGATAGAGAAAAGTGTGCTGAACATGATGGTTAAAAAACTTTTAATTAATCCCAAAACTGAATGAGTTATGACCGGTAGAATGAATCAGGAACGGTCCGTTCAAATTAAGTGCAATGCTCCTAATTCGAACGGCAATGTATATTTTTGCTCCTAATTCGAACGGACGCATCAAATACAAGAGAAAAATAGGAGAAAAAGTAAAATGAGTTGTTTCTGCTATCCCAAATGCGTGATCAAGAAAAATTTTTGTCACCAAAAATGTTCTACACACTCGACTCTATTTACCTGCAGCAGTTCAGACCTAACTATCACTTCCTTCCGGACATATTAATTGTTCAAAATAGAATGTATCCGTTCAAATTAAGTGCAATGCTCCTAATTCGAACGGCAATGTATTTTTTTCCCCTAATTCGAACGGATCCATTGATTTGCATAGAAAACATAGAGGCTTCATTAGATCGACTTTATTCCTACTCTGATAACGAAATGAAGCTATACTCTTGGAACAAAAACTATTCGAGAGACTGTAGGCTACATTGTGACAAAGGTTCAGTTCTTAGAAATGTAAAGTGGAGGCAAAAAGTTTAGGGACAAACTTGTTTTTGTTCTTTCTCGTAAACCCTAGCAGCTACAATAAATCTGAGGATAGGTTCGTACAGCGCTGACTTCGATGTGTGTATATGTATTATTCAAAAAATTTCAACTCGACTTTAACCTGTTAGAAAAAACGGTTTTCTCAGAAATCCAGGATCTCTAAAATCCTTCTTTTTTAAAACCCAATGCAAACATTTCTTTCATCATTCTGTAAGATAGAGCAAAGTGTTCTCTTCAAAATGAAACCTTCCGCGGCTCTCCACAACATTTTTTCATTGAGTTATGACTTTTACACGAAAAGCTCCAAAGTGATAATCAGCCTATGACAGTTCTTTTTTTTTCGTAACGTTGCTGAGACTTCTGCTTGTGGG